TACCGGAAGAGACTCCGTCTGAGGATAACTCTGCGGGGAATAACTCTGTTGGAGAGGAGATACTTTGTTGATAGATCTGTTGACTTGGAGAAACAACTCAGCTAGGGATGAATTTTCGTTGCTGGTGACAACGAATCTTGTGAGAGAAATAAACTCTGCTTGGGGAGAATTATGTCCTGTTTAGGGAAGCTAACATCACTGTATTTGGATACTTTTTATCCTGTGGGGAGTACAGGTACCACTGCTCATATTCTCAAGCTGGCTCTATCCCAATACCTGATGGGCAGAGTAACTGCAGGGTTTGGGCACTTCTTATTTGTCATTGTTCCTAGAATTACAAGTAATCGTCTTTTGTTTCTCATGTAAATATTTATGAGCAACAATTATTTTCAAATGCATATATCAAAAATGAATGATTGGACGTTCTTGCAAAGCAAAACAGAAAAAGAAAAATAAATTGGAATTTCTTGTGAAAATGAATTGTATTGATTCTGAAATTGGCCCGTAATAGGCGTTTTGTACAAGGAGGTTGACGTCCTAGTAAGAGAATGCCGCCGAAAGATAGAAATTACAGTTGGTGTAAAAGAAAGAAAAACAACTATGTGAAACAATCCCATTGAGTTCCAACTCTGCTATTGTCTTTATATCTTCAAGTGTCTCATCAATTTGCTACTTGGTCGAAGATGGATCAAATTGATTGGCGTCGTCTGAGCTTGATAATGGATATCGAAGTCTGGCCGCGAGATGATCTAATGAGACATAGTGCTACACTTTGATCCCTAATTTTTGCCTGGACTGCCCTTTCGGGTTTTCAGTCCACCGGGATACCCTTTTTTGCCCAAGTCGCCTTTTTAGGTTTTCGACTTGCCGGGTGTACAGCTTTTTTCATTTTCATCCCTTACTTTTTCCTGAACCCTTTTGGTTCGCCGGGAAGCCCTTATTTTTGCCTAGGCCAGTCAACCTAGCGGGTCTTTGATTATGCGTAGTATCTTTTCACTATGTCTGCATTGACGGGGTGAGGAAGGTCGTCACCATCCATGGTGGTTAGAATCATAGCTCCTCCCGAGAAGATGTTCTTAACCATAAATGGACCTTCGTAAGTAGGGGTCCATTTTCCCCTAGGATCACCTTGCGTAAGTATGATGCGTTTGATCACTAGATCTCCGACTTGATATTCTTGACGTCTGACTTTCTTGTTAAAATCCTTGATCATTCGCTTTTGATACGTCTGAACATGACAGATAGCAGTAAGTCTCTTTTCATCGATTAAATTCAGCTAATCAAGTTAGGTTTGGATCCAGTCGTCTTCGTTCAAACCTGCATCCTTCATAATCCTGAGAGAGGGTATCTAGACTTCGATGGGTAGGACTGCCCCCATTCTGTACACCAAAGAATAAGGTGTTTCCCTGTTGACGTCCGTGCTGAGGTACGGTATCCATGAAGAGCGAATGGTAACATCTTGTGACAGTCTTTATACGTCACCGTCATCTTCTGCACAATCTTCTTGATGTTCTTGTTAGCCGCTTCAACAACCCCATTCATCTTCGGCCGGTAGGGAGAAGAGTTATGATGCTGAATCTTGAATTGTTTGCAGAGCTCGGTGATCATTGTATTGTTGAGATTTGTACCATTGTCAGTAATGATCCTCTCTGGTACATCATATCGACAGATCAGATTGTGTCGGATAAACAGTGCCACGATGTTTTTGGTTACTGTAGCAAAAGAGTCTGCCTCGACCCACTTCATAAAGTAATCAATTGCTACCAGAATGAAACAATCCCCGTTAGACGCAGTAGGTCTGATCTCACCAATCATGTCGATGCCCCACATTGAAAAAGGCCAAGGAGCTTTCAGAACATTCAGGGGAACCGGAGGTACATGCTCTTTATCAGCATAGACTTGGCACTTATGACAGGTTCGAGAGTGCTGGTAACAATTGGCTTCCATAGTGGACCAATAATATCCTGCCCGTAGGATTTTCTTTGCCATAGTATGTCCACTGGAATGGGTTCCGAAGGTAGCTTCATGTAACTCTGCCATGATCCTTTCTGCCTCGCTCTTGTCTATGCACCGCAGTAGGGTTGAATCATGTTTACGCTTATAGAGGATACCATTACTAATGAAGAACTTCGCATCGAATCTTCTCAGAAACTTCTTATCATTAACAGATGCCTCCTCGGGGTATTCTTGAGCCTCAAGATACCTCTTTACCTCGTGAAACCAGGGTTTATCTCCTACCTCTTCAGTCTCAATGTCACAACAATGTGCGGGTTCGTCCAACCTCTCGATGGTAATTTGGGGTTCATTATGCCATCTGACTTTGAACATAGAAGACATAGTAGCTAACGCGTCCGCTAACTTGTTCTCTTCTTTGGGGAAATGTTAAAAGGTTATCTCCTCGAGGTGTGGGAGCAATGTCAGTACATATTCTTTGTAAGGAATAAGATTTGGGTGCTTCGTATCCCACTCGCCTTTGATCTGACTGATCACTAGAGCAGAATCTCCGAATACACTCAAGAACTTAATCCTTAGGTCAATAGCAGCTTGAAGACCTAAGATACATGCTTCATATAGTGCCATATTGTTGGTGCAGTTGAAACATAATCGGGCGGTGAACAGAGTATGACAGCCCTCGGGAGATATAATTACAACGCCAATGTCGTTACCTAATGCGTTCGAGGCTCCATCAAAATACATAGACCATCGGGATCCCTTCTCAGGTCCTTCATCCGGTCCAGGTTCTTCACAGTCGGTTACCAACATGATATTCTCATCCGAGAACTCGAAACTCATGGACTAGTTATCATCCATGACCTGATGCGCCAGATGATCCGCCAATATAATCCCCTTGATTTCTTTTTGGGTTGTGTATTAGATGTCGTATTCGGTCAAGATCATCTGCCATCTTGCTATCCTTCTGGAGAGAGCGGGCTTCTCGAAGATATACTTGATCGAATCCATCTTTGATATCAGTAAGGTGGTGTGAGTCAGCATATACTATCTCAGCCGGCGAGCAACCCATGCCAAAGCGCAGCAAGTTTTCTCGAGAAATGAATATCGGGTCTCACAGTCGGTAAACTTTTTGCTAAGGTAGTAAATAGCATACTCTTTTCGGCCGGACTCGTTATGCTGCCCCAACACACACCCAATTGAACTGTCTAGCACTGTTAAGTATAAAATCAAAGGTCTTCCTTCAATTGGCGGCATCAGGATTGGTGGCTCTTGAAAGTATTCCTTGATTCTTTCGAAAGCGGTCTGGCATTCATCATTCCACTTTACCACTTGATCTTTCTTCAGCAGATTGAAGATTGGCTTACAAGTAGCAGTCATATGTGAAATGAACCTGGTGATGTAATTCAAACGTCCCAAGAAACCTCTAACTTCTTTTTCTATGCGGCGAGCCGACATCTCTTGTATGGATTTTACCTTTGCAGGGTCCACCTGAATTCCTTTATCACTGACGACGAAACCTAGAAGCTTACCAGACCTTACCCCGAAGGTACACTTGTTCGGATTCAACCTCAGCTTGTACGTCTTCAGCTTGTCAAACAGTTTCTGGAGATGATCAAGGTGCTCTTCCTCAGTTGGAGACATGACTATCATGTCATCAATATAAACCTCGATCTCATGGTGAATCATGTCGTGAAACAAAGCGACCATGGCGCGTTGTTGCAACTGGTTTTTAAATTAGAGTCGCCACCCTTAATTTTTATCCTAATGAAAGGGAGTATAAAGGAATAACCCTAAAGTTCAGAGATTCTAGATTTGGACTCGGTTCTAGACGAGGGGAAGGTGTTAGGCACCCCTTATCTACCTTGTTCGCAAGGATACTAGGTTTAGAAGTGCGATGTTTAGGAAATAGGGTTTTAATTATTAATTAAGGAAAAGGGTTTGAATTTTAGTTAAGGGGACTCACAATGATTTTTGATCGTATGCCTACGTTACTACATATCCTCCTTAGGAGGAATCAGAGTCTCATTTTCGTAGTTCGCAGATTGTTTTGTATTTTTTATGGATTACGAAATATATCTAAATTTCTTGCATACTTAGTCTAAGAGTGTGAATGGCAGAGTTTGTTAGACCAAGTGTGCAGTTAATTTAAATATATTTGTATTCCTTTCCGAAAATTAATTGTTCGAATTAATTTGATTTGCGAAAAAAAAGATTTGGTGTTTGATTGAATATTTTTTATATGTAGAGCGAGGGAGTCTGATATAGTCTCCTCGTCACGTGGTCAGATATTAGCCATGTGTCATTCACGGGTGAAATATTTGGTTAATTGCATGAATTTTAATTGTTTAATTTAGTATAATAAACTGGTAGACGATGTGTCGACTGATTTATTTACTCTAAGATGGACATCCTGTTATTCACAAAAATGTTGAATTAATTTGATTAGAAAAATATTGGAATGATGTACGTGTTAATGATTTACATACAAAATGGTTAATCTAAAAATAAATCCATTATTCTTTTGCGCTTTACATTATCGTTATTATTAATGATGACCAAAGAAATAAATTGATCAAATAAATTAAATTAAATTACTAACAATGACCAAAAATAAAAAGAAGTATAAATAGAAATCTAGAGTTGTTATGATTAGTGAAAGATTAAAGATATGGCCCATTGGCCCAATGACCTACAAGCCCTAATTCTAAACCATTAACATGAGATAAATAATTTACAAAACTACAGCATCATCACATGGCGTTTTATTTGTTACAGGGAGTCTTAAAATATATTTTGTTTCCATTTAAACATTGATCTTATGAGAACGTGACATGTGGCACTTCAAAATAAAAATATAATAAAAAAAACAAAATAGAATAAAGGACAATAGCATACATCTATGTAGGAAGAGAAGTAACAATAAAAAAACAGAAAACATGTTTATCCCTCACTTACTTCCTACCCGATTCTCTCTCTACCATAACTCCATTTTCTTTATTTCTCAATCAACTTCTCTCACATCTCAATTCAACCTTCTCTTTTCCTTTTCACCATGACCCCCATCTTTCTATCTTCTTCCTTACAAAACAAACAAAAATCCAAAAAACATAATACCTAAAACAACAAAAAAGTATGAAGAACCTGACATGGTGAATAAATGGTGAAAGACGAAGCGTGGTGGTTGGCTGCCTGGTACAGGAGCTCACGGCGGAGTTGGAGAAGGAGGGAGCGTCACGGTTGTGCGGTGAGGCAAGCTTCTGCGTGGAGGTTGATGTGGATGGTGTAGTGGTTGTGAGGTGGGTTGCAGAGAGGGTTTGCGAGTCGTACTGGAGCGGTACAGGGGCGGTCAGCAGCGGCGAACGAGCTCCCTCCTCTGTACGATTTTTGTTCGTCATTTATAGTGATAGTAGGCTTAGATCAAATTAGGAATTACAATTTTTTTGTCTGCGTTTTTAATTCGGTTCCCAAATTAAGATAAATTGCTTTGAAAGCTTGTCTGTAAGTTTATGGCTAGAAATTAATTCATGGTTTTAGATTAGGAAATAAGTTCACTCTGTCTGTAAACTCCAGAACACCCATTTCCATACTCGATTTTGCATTAATGATGTTTCTGTTTGTACTTGATTTTGTTCTGTAAATGAAGAACAATTAAAGTTCTAATTTTTCTGTTTTAATTTGAACAGTGCGTGTTCACAGCAAAAAATGTTTGAATCAAATTTAATCCCAACAGTAATTGTTGTCCTAAAAAAAAAAGGCCCATTGTTGGTGAACTTGGGCCAAAGCGAAACAACCAAATGTTAAAAGAAAAACAATTGAATTGGCCACTTTTTTTTTACAGCAAACAATAAAAACAGACCCAAAATAATTGGGATGCTTTGTGTAAAAAGTTTTAAAATAATAACGTTTATGTTCAATCAAAAATAAATTTAATAAAAAGAAAAGAAGTTAATCAAATTTGTTTTGAACAACAAAAAAAGCTAAATGGGCCACCGATTGGGCTGTAAGACTCCCAACATTCAACAAAATCCAACATTATCTTTATTTAATCTTTAATACGCTATTTTAATCAAAATTAATATAATTAATAATGGTAAAAATAATAATAATGTTAATAATAGACTTAAAGTCAGATATTGACTTTAATTTAATTAATATAATAAAATAATTTTAACAACATAATTCAATCATATGGCAGTAGTAATATTGATTATGAACTATAATGCTGATTAATTGAATAACAAATAATAATAATAGTACTAAGCAAAAATTGGCTTAGTAAAAAAAATGGGCTTCAAACCCTCTTATCAGGCCATAGAGTTAATTCAGATTTTGCAAAGCCCGCACACCCATTCTTCTTATAATACACCCCTCTCTTAAACTTAAAACAAATTTTAAGACTTAATGGACCATCAGATATTGATGGTCTATTTTACATCAACACACCCCTTTGACTTTAAATACCCTTATAAAGGTGAAAACTAAATAATAAAATTTATTTGAAGAAAACCCTAGATTGGGGTAGGGCAAATTTGGGGTATGACAGCTGCCCCTATTTAATCATCTTTCGATTGAATAGTGCGAGAATATGCAGGTCTCGCGCGTTTAATCGGAAGTTTATTAAATATTGGAAAACCCCAAGATTTGTCCGAGCTAATATAAGAATACGTTGTACAACACTCTTATGAGTGTGAATAATAGGCATAGATGATGATGTATCGTCTTACCAGCGTTTGGACCAAAGTGGGTTAGAATCAAGACTCGACAACGCAGATAACTCGTCGGTATCGGAGAGATTGTAAGATTTTGCTTATTTACCATAACCTAGGAGGTAAATGGTACGAGTTTTAAAAGCTGATATAGTAAATTTGTGACGTAAATTTCGTATATTCATCGCAACCTAGGGGATGAATAACATAAAGCTTGATAACACATTGCTGCATGGAGACTGATGCAATGAATTTACACAAATTTAGTTTATGTTTACTACAACCTAGGGAGTAAACAGTACGAGGATGAACCTGTGCATTTATCACAACCTAGGGGATAAAAGACAACAGAGATGGGCTTACGTTATCCACCGCAACCTAGGGGATGAATAATATAACCTTGAAGATTCGCATATCCATTACAACCTAGAGGATAAATAATTGAAATAGGCTTGAAACCAGATATGTAGAAATTGAAATGACGATGTTGGTTGCATCGTCTCAACCAAGATTCGATAACCAAACAGAATATACAAGATTTGAAGTGATGGAACCCAGAACTCACTGATGAGGTTAGTTGTGTCGTCTCAACCATGATCATCAACATGAAGAAAATAAATCCCAAACTCATGATGATATTGGTCGTGTCGTTTCAACCATTATCAACATGAAGAAAATAAACCCCAAATCCATGATGATATTGGTCGTGTCGTCTCAACCATTATCAACATGAAGAAAATGAACCCCAAATTCATGATGATATTGGTCGTGTCGTCTCAACCATTATCAACATGAATAAAATAAACCCCAAGTTCATGATGATATTGGTCGTGTCGTCTCAACCATTATCAACATGAAGAAAATAAACCCCAAATCCATGATGATATTAGTCGTGTCGTCTCAACCATTATCAACATGGAGAAAATGAACCCCGAATTCATGATGATATTGGTCGTGTCGTCTCGAACATTATCAACATGAAGAAAATGAACCCAAAATTCACGATGATATTGGTCGTGTCGTCTCAACCATTATCAACATGAAGAAAATGAACCCCAAATTTATGATGATATTGGTCATGTCGTCTCGACCATTATCAATATGAAGAAAATGAACCCCAAATTCATGATGATATTGGTTGTGTCGTCTCGACCATTATCAACATGAAGAAAATGAACCCCAAATTCATGATGATATTGGTCGTGTCGTCTCAACCATTATCAACATGAATAAAATGAACCCCAAATTCATGATGATATTGGTCGTGTCGTCTCAACCATTATCAACATGAAGAAAATGAACCCCAAATTCATGATGATATTGGTCGTGTCGTCTCAACCATTATCAACATGAAGAAAATGAACCCCAAAAGAATTTGCCATCTTAACCAAAGTAGCTTTGCAAGATGCCATGTATGCATAATGTCCTAAACTGATATGTTATTCGAGTGTGATGTATACCCCAAATGTTTGTATGTTTTATGCTCCAAATGTTTGTATGCATATGCCCCAAATTTTTTACAAATGTTTTTGATGATTCTCCTTTCTCGTAATCACCAACCCCCTAAATTGTTTGTTGCCAATTGTTGTATCTCCAAGTTGATTCAAATTTGATGAAAAGATGTCGGCGAGATCTTAAGGTCTGTATCATAGACGCATGCGTAGGTATGGACGTGGACGTTGGTGTAGTCGTGGATGTAGGCATGTGCGTAAAAATAGGCGTGGACGTAGGTGTGGACGTGGAAATAGGCTTGGTCATGGACGGGGACATGGACATTGGCGTAGTCATAGACGTAGGCATGGATTTTCCTTCGCTGTTCTTCTAACCAGAATAAACTTTGATGATTTATCAAATGCTCTTTGGTGTTTCTGTATGTTAGATGCACCAAATGTTGCAAATGATCTTGAGATTTTGCGTGCATCATGCTTGATGTGAGGCTCTTAGTGGGAAATTTGCTGCCAAGATTTCCAAGGAATCTACTGCCGAGATTCTGTCGAAAGATTACCTCCTGCCGAGGTTTTCTTGAAAATCACCTTCCGTGATCAACCAGGGGAATCTACTTCTGAGATTCTGTTGAAAGATTACCTTCGTTCGAGGTTTTCTGGAAAATCACCTACCATGACCAACTAGGGGAATCTACTACCGAGATTCTGTGTAGAATTGGTAGCTTGATTGCCGATGATGATTGCCTTCACATAAAACGAGGTTTCATGCTATGCATGCAAATTTGATTGGTGCATGGAATGTAATGATTGATTGATGCATGTAATGATTGATTGATGTATGTAATGATTGATTGACGTATGAATTGATTGATGTATGTAATGATGATTGACGCATGAAATATGATGATTGATTGATGCATGAAATGTGATGAATGACTTGGATATATGTAAATGGATGTTGGACTTTGAAATGAGAATGCGTAGTTAGGCTTTTTGAGATACGTTCGACCCATGCTGTTGGAATGCGTAGATGAATGAGATGATAGTATGCCTTGGTTTTGGATCTAGGAGCCCTAATGCATGATTTATGCAGCCTTATGCTTTATGATTATGAATTGGATATTTTTTGAATGGTGCCCCTGTGATGGGTTGTGGATGATTAAAGCATGGAGGTTTGTTTATGCAACAAGGTTTCTTGTCACATTATGGTTGAGTGTTGTGCTTGCATGATTCCTTGATACTTGTTTCGAACTCGAAGATTGCTGACGTAGAAGATAGGTCCACTGGAGGTTTGTGAAAGTATGAAGAGAGCTTGCTTTTGTATGGACTGTTTTTCCTAATTTGATGGTAGGGTCCTGGAGGAGATTATCTTTAATATGAGCTTGGAAAATTTTTGATCATAATGTGAATGACCCCAATATTTTGCATTATGCCCCTGATTAAAAGACTCCTGAAAAATGCTTGGCTTTGATGGACCCTTTTGTATCAACTTCTTTTTTTGATCAAGCCTCGCAGTGGTTTGCCCCAACATTCGAATTTTGAAAGACATACCCCTCAATCTCCAAGATCCGGAGGAAGTATCCTTAGAAAGAACTCAGACTTTACCATGAACTTGACATAGATTTCCCCAATTATTCGAAGCTTGAAAAGTTTATACTTGAAGTTGCTTGAAGAATTTGGACCCTACGTGCAGTAGGATGAACTTGGTACGCACTGCCCCAACATTTGAATCTCAGAAAGTTGCCCCTGCTTCCAGACCTTGATAGGTTTATTAAAACGAGGAAACCGAGTCATATCCTGTCGTGGCATGAATGCTTCTTCGAAAGATATGCACCTTGTTGAACAGTGCTTTAAAATTTGATCCAAGTTGATTGAACCTATGAATGATCGCCCCTTGTCAATATTATCTTTATGTGATATACCCCTATGATCATTAGTCTATGCCCTTGTTTATAGGGATCCCCTTAGATGCTTTTGCCCCAGTTAGGAGCTTCTTGGAAAGGATGGCCTTTGATCAGGCCTTCTTGAAATCTCTTTGATGTTAAGTATTGATTCGTAGATAAAATTGTACATTTCGAAAAAGTAATTCTGTTTGATGCACATGTACGTTCTTGAAATGGATTATTTGAAAAGAAATGGAAGATTAGAAGATGAATATTCGAAGAAGCGAAGTAGTTAGAAATGATTTTAACAAACATAGGAGTCAATTTAACACAAATCTTGCTGAATATGCTTTCATAGTGA